AATTACATTATATTAAAATTATAAAATAAATTTTAAGTACAATATAATATTGATAAGTTTAAAAATATCAACAATAGTAATTATAATTTTAAATAAATAATGAAATATAAAATATAAGTAAAAATTAAAAAATATAATATACAAATCATAAGAAAAAAAAAAGAGTTTATTAAATCATTACCTATAATCCATTTACTTGAAATTTTATCCATTTCCTACAACAAAAAAAAAAAACCAAATAAGTATAAATATAAAAAAATTAAAATAAATACATATATAAGAGAAAATTTACCAAATTTATCAAATTCTTATAATATGAAACCTATAAAAACAAAAACAAAAAAGAAGAAGTTAGTAAACAAAATATAAATAATAAAAATATACAAAAATGAAAAAGTTTATAAAACATATTATGGATCAAAAAAAAAAAAAAGGAGAGTGGAATAGAAAAGATTGGAAAAAACAGAAAAATTAAAGGGAAAAAAAAAACATGAAAGATAGGGGAAGAATAAGAGGAGTAAGAAAAATCAAAAGAACATTAAGAAGTGTAGAGAAAGAAGAGAGGAAAGAGATGGGAAGATTAAGAAAAAAGGAGAAAGAGTAAAAGGAATAGAGAAAGGAAATGAGAAAGAAGAGGAAAGAATACCCAGAAACCAAAAGGAGATGAAGAAGAAAAAGAAAGAGAAGAAGAAGAGAAAATGAGGAAAGGAATGAGAGAGAGCTAGTTATATATAGGTTTTATATGGACCGAAACTAGTCCGAATATACCAAATAAGTGCCCATTACCACCCAACGAAGAGCTTCAATTTTGCTAAAAATTTAGGCGGCAAACATTTCCAAATTGATATCGGTCCGCAAATTACTAAAAAAGTTTAATTTATAATGAAATTTTGGCGGCAAAATATACGGACCGAAAATGGTCCCAAAAAAAATAATTAAGTGCCAATCCATAAAAGTTTAATTTTCGGTGAAATTTTCTAGAGGCAAAACCATTGAAACAACAATTGGTTATATTCGGATTAGTATCGGTCTGTATATATAAGATAAACTTTTGTTAATTATAAAGATGAATTAAATTGCATATATGATATGTTCTCGTACTTTTTCAGGCCGTTTTTTGTCTGAATATATTGCAAAAAATTTAGAAACTTCTACCTGTGCACCTTTTTATTCTTTTCATTTGAGGACATCACCATCTTCCCGTCCCACAAATCCGTTCTTACAAAAATCAATTGTCTGAACATCGACACTACAGTCTCCTGGAACCTCAGAACCATTGATTTCCTACATGAAATTATCTAACTATGGCACGGGATAGAATCGTTGCAAAACTTTGAATGTATAAGTATAAGGTTATTAGATATAAGGTTACGTAATATTCTTTCGGAGCCACAAGCAAGTAAAATTGATTTTTTTGGATAAGTTTAACCACTTTGACATGCAAACATTTGGAATGTTATTGTTGAAAACGAGAGTATAAAGAATTGAGCATGAAATAAGGAAAACAATAAAAAAGCTGTAGGCGGATATATATTGGGATCAAAACCAATCCGTATAATGATATATGGACCGATATCGATCTGTATATGTCTGTCATGGCTTTTTTAATTATAAAGATAAATTAAATTCGGTGTAAAGATATATAAGATCGGTTTTGGTCGGAATATAAGCACAGAATCTAGAAGCTTCCACACTTTTAATTTTTCAGACCGTTTTTGGTCCGAATATGTTGCAAAAAATCCAAAAACTTCTCCTTGTGCACCTTTTAATTCTTTTCATTTAAGGACATCACCATCTTCCCGTGCCCCATATTCGTTCTTACGAAAACCAATTGCATGAACATCGACACTACAGTATCTTGGAACCCCAGAACCATCGATTTCATGCCTAAAATTATCTAATGATGGCGCAGGATAGAATTGTTGTAAAACCTTGAATGTATAAGTATAAGGTTATTAGATATACGGTTACGTAATGTTCTTTCTGTTCTTTCAGAGCCATAAGCAAGTAAAATTGATATATTTTTTTTGTAAGGTTAACCACTTTAGCGTGCAAGCATTTGGAATATTATGGTTGAAAATGAGAATATAACGAATTGAGCATGAGATAAGGAAAACAATGAAAAAGCTACGGGTATGTATATATTGGGACCAAAATCGATCCATATAACTATATATGGACCGATATTGGTCCATATATACATCTGTATATATTAATGAAAATATATGCAAATCAATAACAGTCGGTATATACCACTGAGGCTCTATGTTGGGTCTCCAAGTGTATACAAATCGATACCGATCCATATATATTAACAACGATATATACAGACCGAAATCGATTTGTATATACTAGTTTGGATTGAGCCGACTGGGGAATGAAAGCAGGTAGGTGCTACACTGTCTTGAACATTCTGTTTTTTTGGACTGAGCTGGCTGTAAAAATTTTACAGCCGGCTTAACTGGCCTTGATTTTTTACAAAAATATACGAATTGATAACGATTCGTATCGACTGGTGAGCTGGTTGGGGAATGAAAGCTTGCTGGTGCTGGACTGCTTCGAACATTCTGTTTTCTTCACTGAGCTGGTTGTGGGTATTTTGCAGTCAGCTTTGCTAGCTTTGATATATACAAACCAGCTTCGGTTCGTATTTGCTTGTTTGGCCACTAGACACTCAACCATTTATGTGTTTATTACGATTGTTATACTAATTGAAACCGATCTATGTATGAGTATTTCATTTAGTTTGATATTTCTTATATATAAAGGATTTAATTGATATTTAAATTAATATATTTGATATTATAAAATTATTTTCACATAATTTATGATATTTATCATATAAAATGTTCAAAAATTTTGTTAATTTACTCTAAATATATAAGTCTCCAATGTCTACTACAAATATAAAGTAAATACAAATATTTAATTGAAATATAAAAAACCCTAAATATCTCGAGGTGTCCTAGGGGTGACTGTCCCACTGGTATATGTTGGGATCATCCCTAAATGTTGGTAGAGTTGCTGCATTTGTGCAGCAAGGGTCAACTATTGCTGCCATAAGCTCTTATTATCTGCCATAAGGATCATCTGTGATTGTCGAAGGCTATTATTATCTACCTTCAATGATTCAATAGTTTGCTCTAATTCGATAACCTTATTAGATTGTCCTATAATGGGTGGCCTAAATGGTTCTTGTCTAGATGTGCTCACACCTATATCCTGTGGATGCGTGTGAATATCCAAACCTTTCAGCCATCCGTTATTGACCCCACTAGTTGCCCTAAGTAATAACTCACCATGAACTATTGTAGGGTCAAATGCTTCTTCCTCTTGCTTAGCAGTATATTAAGCTGTTAATTTTTCTTGAAATAATATAAGACAAAATAAATAATTAATTGTATTGAAAATTAAAGTGTAATTTAAAATATCACTTTAGGCACCTAAATTCAATTTACTCTCCCCTAAAAGGATGGAGTTCTAATTTTTTACAAATAGTTATATTGTACAGTAATTTCAATATTATAACCAAAATAATTTCAATTAATTCATGACACAATTTAAAGTAAAATTGTTAAGTTAAATACTTACTCTAATTTCTTGAGCCTCATCATTACAATATCCAGACAATTGGTCTTTTCTTTTTCTTTTGTGCTGCCTTGTACTGGTGTAGACCTCAGGAAATGTCGATAGACGACCCTCGGGGTTTGCTTGTTGCTGTAAAGAAAAAAACAGAAGAGAAAATATTAAAATCAACATAAAATAAATTATAAATCATAATTCATTAATTATTCATTAAAAATATATGAACTTTTATATCATTTTCTTTCTATAAACATTAACGTCCATTGAACTGCTGGCATGCATCACCCTCGATCTTTTTGCTCGATTAGCCCTTGCAAAACTTGACCTTCTCAAATGACTCTCGTCTTGTAAAAGTGGTGAACGCATATATTTTCTTAATTAATAAAATGATAAAAACATTAAACATTGCAATTGAGAATTAAAAAATAAATAATAATAAATACATGAATTTACTCCATTACCTCAGTCCATAAATAAACAAGCCTCGCCCATAACTCTAGATTCATATCTGGAGGCTTAACTTGAAAGTGTCTCTTTGCACACTTAGCTTTCAACTCACTAAGTGCATGCTTGAACTTGATCCTTGCTGTCACGTTCCATAAATCCTCTACAGTCTTATCAATCGTAGGATCCCATTCATATGTTTGCTGAAGATAATAGAAATATAAATAAATAAATAATTTAATAACAAAAATATTAATGATAATAACAAAAAAATTTCAAATTACTTAAACTTTGAAGATAGAAATTGAAAATATCTAATTTGTAAATAGAAATTAAGTGTATAGGGCATACACTTTATATATTCCAATACCTGTCCCGATGCTCACAACGAACCTGTCCCCACGATGTGTAAGCATCTGGGAGATTCTCCCACAACTAAACCACAATCTATCGTCTGGCCTATTATGGCAAACCTCTATACTCATTTAGCTCTAATGGGATCTTCGTCCCATCTGTAGGCATTTGCACGGGCTTAGCTTGCCCCCATCCCTGTCTTTGTTGAGGGGTAGCCATAGGTGTATCCTAATCATTGGGAGACTCAGCCTGTATATCAGCATCTGAAGCTGGAGTCTCCAGAACCACATCAGTAGGAACCTCCTCCTGAACTCATCCTTGGGGGTCAAATGGATTTGGCCGTTGCAACGGTTGGGTGGATTCAACAGCCTCCATGCAACGAGAACTACAGTAATCCACTGTAAAAAAAATATAACAAAGGCAATGTAAATCATTAATACAAGTAATTCAAATGCAATAAATAAATTACTATTAATATCACAATAAAAATTAAAATACTTTTAATTTCTATAAATAAGCAAATAATAATCAAATTATATTTTAGTTGAATAACATACAGTATAACTAATATAAATAAATATATATATATAAATATTAACAAAAAAAATATAATTAATAATATGATAAAAACATAAATGTATAAATTTTATTCCAACTAATACAATTATAGAAGTATAAATAAGCAAATATTAACTTAAAAG